AACAAGTATAGAGTAAAGGTTTAGTATTATTAAAGAATGCCAAGACTGAAATGATGTGCAGATGGCAGTCCCAGGTCAGATGCTGAACTAAAACTATGTCAGCTAGCAAAAAAAAAAAAAATACCTATGAAGCAAAACTGCAAATCATAGTGAACTGGGTCTTTCTAGAGGCCAGGAAAAAATAATGCCAGAGTGTTTTTCATTTTTTGCCCATGCACATCCATTGAGCCAAAGAAGTTATGAATTTTCTCTGGCTTATCACTGTTTTTTAGGTAATAACTACACCCTTCCAGGCTACAGAAGGCATGGGTCAATATACCAAATTCACATCCTGCTGCATCTTATTGTTTCCATAAGGAATATTGCTCTATCTGAGTGACTTTCCTCTTGCACCTCAAATATCTTAATAGTTCAATGCCTCTCTCTCTAGGGAACTCTCCCTCCTTTCATTTCCATTCCTCTGGCTTAAAAATCACCCTCATTGCACCACCTCTGTGTTTTTCTTCCTTTACTCCCTTAATGCGCTGTTTTTCCTTATTCTTCTATGATTGTTGCTCTGGCAAAGGTGGCTGCTCCCTTTCCACCTTCTTTTTATCAGGATCACTTACCACTTCTCACCCCTCCCTTTCAGTGATGAAAAGCGGGGATGAGAAGTGGGTTCCACCTTTGGACAGCAACCTTGTCAAACACTAAAGGATGTCTCAGGTGAAATATAAAGCTGAGAAACAAAATCTTCAAAGGATCTGGAGGGAGACCTGGCTAGAGATACAAACAGAACCCTATCACAGCTCTCCTTTCTAGAGTCTTCTCTCTGTTCTTTCCCTCTTCTTCTTCTTCTTAGGATTTGTGTGTAGACCATGCTATGCAGAAAAGTAGGCAAGGGAACAAAACCAGAAATAGGTGAGCATGTCCTTAGGAAGAAAGGAAAGAAAAGAACATAAAACACATTGTAAGAACAGACACTTGTTACAGCATTTGAAATTTGCCCAGGAAACTTCAAATGGCATCATTGATTTTGTGATTCTGTTTTTCTTTTATTTTTATAGGCAGAAGTTCATAGCTTGCTTGTGCTCACTTTCTTGACTCTCTATTCCAAACACAGACTCATACAACACACAAATACACACCCACATACCCTGCAGGATGAATTTCAGTTCTTGCTTTTCTTTAAATTACGTGTGTTTGTGTTGATAGCTAATGTGTTTACAGCCACTTGCTTACACATAAATATTCAAATTTAGTTGAGTTAAGGGAATGTCAGTGCCATTCCAAACACATCTTTCCTTTAGCAAAACATTGATGTACTGAGATGTTACAAGTCTCAACTCAGAATAGTGGGGGGAAAAATGTATCCGTTTCCTGATGTCCTTAGATTTCTACATTTATAAATGAAATACTCAAATTAAGCAAGTTCCCTCAATTGTATTTCTTGCATCTCAAACAAAGGGAAAGAAAGACAGATATCTTAATGATTATTAGGGTAATAGTATTGTTTTACAAATCTTTTTAATGCAAATAAAAGAGAAGTTTTCATGTCCTGGGGAGTTTTCAAGAATAGTGCTCTGTTTGGGGAGCAAATATTAGTAGGTTAATGAATTTGCATGGTGTTTCCTAAAAGTTAAGAGCAGAAAGCTTATACATAAATAAGTAGATAAATAAGTAGCTGCGGGGGTGGGGCAGCAGAAAGAGAAGAGGAGAAACAGGAAGACAGTGGGAAGAAAAGAGGGAAAGAGAGGAAAGAGAAAAGAAAGAGAAAAAGAAGCACCATGGAAATGAATTTAATTCCAAATAAATGCTTGCTTAGGAATGCCTGGTTGACCTTGGAATCTCAATAAATGAACATTTTGGATTCAAACTACAGATTTCACCAAAATGTGTTCCTCTGAGGCATAGTACTCAGAAGGCAACACCTGGCAGACTTTAATTGGGGTTACCCTGGCTGACTTTTCTCCACATTAGGGAATGCCAAAGAGAGCATTTTTCTCTTGCCATGAGCTCTAGGCACTTCTTTCTGACTTATAAAGAAATATCAAAGGAACTAATATGTACAACTTGAGTAAACGGTGACTAAGAGGGCATACGCTAATTATGCACAAGAGTTTGAAAGGTGCAGACACGGGGGAGGATGAGAAGTTCTTTAGGCTGGTAGCTGAATATTGCCAGGAGACACCCAAGCACATTAAGCAAAGGGAGATTTAAACTAAACACTAGATCCCAGAATAAATATAACATTCCGCTACATGAGCAAGCTGGTGGAAACTGGTTGAGATGTTTAAAATACCAAAATAATGAAATTTGCATTTCAAGTCAATATTTAAACAAGGTTAGGAAATAATAGAAATCAGAAAGGACCTGAGTTGTAGTCAGAGGGCAAGTCATCAGAGAACTTCCACAACAGGTTATGTGTTTCTGGCCTGAAATTTTTAAGTTTAGAGAGTCCAGGAAATGGTGGCCAGATCCTAGTCAAAGTGACTTGAAAGAACTGGAGAATAGGTACAACTATGGGCACAAGCACACTGGGGCAAAGGGGAAAAAAGCAGGAGAATCTGAGTGCATTTTAGAATTTTCTGTCTCAAAATTAATGTGATCTATTCCAGGCCTTAAAATAAGAACTGCCATTGCTGAGAGGAAAAAGATGGCATCTTATCAGGCCTGTGTCCACAGGGGCCTCTGCTGATTTCTGAACTGATAACTATACACCACAGTCACAACCTCAGGACATGGCCAGTGAGCCTCTTCCCTAACAGCAGAGTGCTCCTACATACCCTTTCTTCTCCCAACGAAGTGGGGCTCTATTAGAATCATTTAAAGGGAATGGGCTTTTATGACAGCATCTCTCCCAGAAATGCCGACCACCTTTGGTTATCTAGCTCCGTTCTCTTAAGCTGTATGAATTGTTGGATCTGACTCCTATCTGCTATGTATCTTAATTCAAGTCATCCGTGTATTACTTCATCAAGGTTGCCATACCAAAATTACTATATACCTACAAATAAGGTTTATGGATATGGAGGAGGGCAAGGAAGAAATCCTAAAATACTCTGAATCATCTTTACATCTTCTCATTATAATCTAGCATTACTCTCAAAATCAATAGTGCTACTTTACTATCTATTCCACTTCTGCACTCCAGGTTTCTAATTAGCTTATACCTATTTCAGCCTGTTAAATAAAAACTGATTGTCAACATTGCTATTAGTCTTCAGAGTACTGATGTTCAGCTAGAAGACCGGTGGCATCGAACAAGTAGCATGACTTAGTCCATAAATGTATGTAAACACACAAGATTTTTTTCCCTCCAAGCCCAAATCCTGCCCAGTTAATTTAATAAAAGGGCTTATTACTCCAAGATTTCTGTTTTCTTTCCAAATGCATTTCACTCCTATAACATGAAATTAGATCTGACTTCTTGCTTGAAAATGGAAAAATAAAAAGAACACAGATAGGAAAAATAACTAAACCTTTTATAAATAATATTCAGCTCTATACCATAGGCCAATTCTGTAACATTTTCATTTGAAGAATGTACTAGAGATTGTCCAGAATTTCAGAACCAAATAATTGTATGTAACGATTGCCTGTTAGTTGTTGGAATTGCCAAGTTTCCTCAAAACTAGTGGTACTGACGTTGACAGAGACTTAATGCTTAGAGTATTCCTGACAGTTGAGTTATAGAACGTTATCAAAGGGGTCCTATGTTCTGTTGGGAGCCTAGTTAACAAGCTTAGCTGACGTATTTAGACAGTGAATTCATGTCCATGCTGGCTGGCTGTTATGTTGATTTGGCCATCAGGGAATTTCTAGAAAAGGAAAACAGCTTGTGACATTTCAGCAGAGCTATTAATTGGTAACATTTAATGTAGGATGACCAGGAGCAAGATTCCATCATGGTGATGGACTGTATTCTTGAACACCCTCTCCAGTTGCTCTATCTTAACCCAACAAGCAGTGGAGTCTTGAAATCTGGAGGTGAAGGGATTTCAATTCAACTGAAGTCCACAGGCCTTTTTAGCCAAGCTCTGGCTAAGCTCTTCCTGCTGTGCAATCTCTCTTTTCTCCACCTTCTCTTTCCCTTTTTTCATTCTCTCTCCTTCCACTTCCTCATCCCTCTTTCTCTCAATCTACTCAGAAATTTTATTTAATCAGTTATGATCCATGTGAGGAAAATTTAAACAAACTTTCTTGTCTTGAAATTTCTTTACTAAAATGGACATAGCCAATTTTGTAGATCTTTTTAGAGCTGCTATGTCCCCAGCCCCAGGTGCCACAATCTGTTGCAAAACGTACCATCAATAGCACATTCTCATGGATCTAACTCATGGCCTGAAAGTCTCAATGATGATATTATTTTATACAAAACAAGGAACCCATAATAACAAGACAGGGTTTAGCACTTGATCCTTGTGAAAAAAAAAAAAATTGCATATAAAGTGGCAGAGTGGTGATTTCACAAAAGGAAGCCACTTCTCCTTCTAATAGCTACTTTGAAGTTTAAAAGTATAATTGATGATGTCAGTGCTTCACCCACACCCTTCAGAGTGCTTGACAACTTGTATGGACCTCCCCGCAACTACTACTTTATACCAAACCCTTAAATAATGACTGGTGCATATGAATATATAAACACTCCAGCTTTGTACCTCATGATCAAGATGTCTTTAAGTGGGACATGTGTTGTCCCCAGAGCTTCCTGAAAGATCGACTCAAGGTTGCTTTTGGGGGGACTCAGCTTGGTATCACACTCTTGTTTGGTTTCCTTCTCTTCCAGATTCCCTTTTTCCACTCCTTTATCAGCATCTTACAACAACAGTTCCCATTTAATCACTTTTTACAAGATTTTTGTCTTAGGGTTTGTGTCTGTCAAATATAACCTCAGAAAAAGCATATTGTCAAAGTATTGAAAAGTCATGTCAGTTTATTGCTTTTAAAAAGAAAAATGAGACAGTCTGCTGTGATTTCAACTTTAAAAAAATAAATCATGCAAACTTTTTTTTTTTCAGGAAGAGAATTTGAAGGAGAAGAAGAATATCTGGAGATTCTTGGCATCACCAGGGAGCAGTCAGGCAAATATGAGTGCAAAGCTGCCAATGAGGTCTCCTCAGCGGATGTCAAACAAGTCAAGGTCACTGTGAACTGTGAGTATGGTGGCCACAGCAGCAGGTGCTACATGCCCAGGACATGCACCTCCACCTCCAGCAAACTCGAAAGATTCCATTAGCTAAAGAGCGTCACAGTTCAAGCGGATGCTCTTTTGGTCAGGGATACACATTTGTACATCGGACACATCCAAGGGCAGGATTTGGCCTTTGAATTTGATAAATTAACTCTACCAATTCTAAATATAACCCATAATACATTTAACAATAGCCTTTGTCTTTTACTCGGGCTGCAGAATTAAGAAAACATGATCAGACAACACTAGCATTTCTGGCACTCATTATTCTGGCCTTTGTGGACACCAAGGTCATATTACTTTGGAAAAACCAACCATTTGTGTCTGCTTTAGCTAGAATTTCTATATTAATGCATTGTTTGTCAAAAGGTAATAGGCCAAGATTATATTTTATCCTCTGCTATTTAACTAATTGACCTTCTTGAAAACAAATTCAAGCCACTGTGGTCAGATGCCATGTGTTCCTGATGGCTATCAGGGATGCCTGATAAGTTAATTTTAGTTATCTATTTGTCCCAAAGTACAGGCATTAGAAAAGAAGATTTCACTAAGATGCATAGGTAAGTGAGCATACTTTGAACTTCTTAGATGAAAGAATCCTTAGATGTAGTTCAAAAGGGGGAGGGAGAGAGGGAGGATCTATAAGATGTGTGTCACCAGCAAAGGAATAAAGAGAATTTGTTTGCCTTATTCAGTTAGGAGTATCTTTCTGTATCATTCAAATTTACATTTCTACATCACACAATTGTGGTTAGTGACAGGGATGAAGAGATATCCTGACAGGTCTTCCCTTCTAGGAATTTCACATATATACATACCCCCCCTCATATACCCTACCTACACACATATGCACACATATTCACACATAACACACAAAGGCACATGTACACACAGGCACAAGCATTTAAACCCACCTTTGAAAGTGTGCTTTAGACTATGTTGAGTTGCATTCTGTCATCTCACGTCCTCCATAACAATCACCTCTGTGCCATCATCTGTATAAATTCTATGCATTCTTCCCCAAAAACCTGGCAAGATAGGTATACTTGACTCCACTTTAAAATTTGAGAAACTGAAACCTAAGGAGTTGAAATGCAACATGGAAAAAGAACATGGAAAGCAAATATAAGAATAGGGAATGAGCCTCAGGTCCATTTAATTAAAAAAAAAAAAAAAAAACATGCTCTCAAGAAGAAGAGAGAAAGGGGAGGAATTATCAATTCTTTTTACCTACTATGAACATCTTAGAATTAAAGGATTTACTTTTTATTTAAACTTCATAATAAACCTATGAGATAAAAATTATTAGTCTTAATTTGGAAATTAGGAAATGCTTGTGGAAAAAAAACAATAAAATAAAAGGTGACTCATCATACACACACCCAAAAACAAAATTAGGAAACTGAGGCTAGAGAGCTGATGAGCCCTGCATGAGATGACTCAGTATGTTAGTCACCCTTCTGTCACTGTGACCAAAATGCCTGATAAGAACAACTCAGGATGAAAAATTTATTTTGGGCTCATGATTTCAGATGTCCATGGTCAGCTGACTCCTTTGCTCTGGGCAGAACATCATGGCCAAAGGGCATGGTGGAGGAAAGCTACTCAGTTCACAGCAGCCAGGTAGGAGAGAGAGCGATAGAGACAAATAGTCCAAGGCCACACTTCCAGTAATCTACTGCAGTGACCTACTTACTCTAACCATACCTACACCTACAGTTATCATCCATTAGCCTATTTAACTATCAAAGGATTGATCCAGCAAATGGATAAAGCCAGTGATCAGGTCACAGCCCTAGTGGTTACCCAAAATCTCCATCTCTGAGCCTTGCTACACTGGGGGATCATATATTCAAAATGTAAGTTTTTAGGAGACATTCCAGATCCAACCATAACACTGAGCCTACACTTGGGGTGTTCTAATACCCAGGGTCTTGCTCCAGCCTTTTAGCTTTCTAAAATAGTGAAATCTTTATACTATAGATGGAAGAATCCAGTAGATACAGCTGTGCTATGCACATTTATGGTCTTCATTTCCAAGAGCAAGAGGCGGCATTTGATGATCTATGATGTGCTTTTATTCCTAGCTGTCTCCAATTTTTTTAGTAATAGAGTTTTGAAATGCCAGTATTATTATTCTTTTCTAGTACTGGGTGTGTTTCAAAGACACATTAATGATCTCAATGTTATAAAATGCTTTAGGTCCTTTTTTCACATGAAAGGCAATTTCTCTGGGTGTTTATATAAGTTTATAATTAGGTTAGTTAGCTTCTTTTATGTACACATAACCATGCCATCATCTTCCACCTCTTTCCTGACTTTTGGAGTGAAGATTTCATTTTCTCTTAATTGACCTTCAACTTAATTAGATTTCTGAAAGTCCAATCACGGAGTAAATAGAAAATATTTATGCTTCCATTGTATGAAACATCAAAGTGGTCTGGATTGCAGATGGTTCCCAAGATCAAAGCTAGCCGTCTGGGCCCTATTATTATTGGAGCAATTAGTCTGACATTGCTCCTTCTTCACTGTCCCCAAAGTGTAATTTAGGACAGAAGAAAATACTGATAATTTTCAAGAAAAGACTTTTATGAAAATGTGAGCTTTTGCTAGTGAGGAGTGAACCACAGAAGAATAAGGACAGAACCTGAAAATTCTAAAAGGACACATCATAACACATTATATGGAAAGCTATAATGAGTCTAATCAAACATCCAATATGCCCTAGCCAGCAGGACCCAGCACATACCTGATCTTATAAAAATTGCTCAGTAGATATTTACCAAAGAGGTAGCAAAAACACACAGTAAACGCTGCACCCCTAACATCTCTCCAAACTTCACAAATGATACTGTTTATAATTCAGGAAGAACATTCTAATATCAATTTCTTTTGGAATCACCTTTTTACCAAAACTTCATAAACCACATCTACATTATATTGGAGCAAGGCATCGCACCAGTTGTCATGTTCAAACAGCTCATCTAAACATTATTGTATTAAGTAGAGGAAGTCCCCAAGATTAAATTATGGAGGCAGACTGCCTGGTAAAACCCTTGCATATCCAGAGATGTATCCAGGATCACTACTGAGGCTTCAGTTAAGCTTCCTGATTCCTCTTCCTTTTCAAAACACAGGCTTAGGCATAGAGTGAAGGGATCAGGACGGCTAAGATAACTACTGGCTAAAGAGATTATTAGAAAGAACAGACCCCCAAATACCACTTAAAATCCCACACTGGTAACTTTCTCCTGCCACCACTCCATTGATTCATTTGCTCAGTTGCCAACAGATGTTTGTTCCAGGGCACTGAGAGGCCAGCGCCGTAAACCAGAGAGACATAACAGTTCCGCCTGTTGAGCTCACAAGCTGGATCCTACAGTTTCTTCTTTTTACTTCTCTGTGATAACCCTTCTCTGTGGTAGGTCTACAGCATAGCACATAGCCATTTTACAGGCAAAATCTATTTTCTAAGTGGTAGGAGGTCTTGGAATTTATGGAAAGCTAAATTATTGGCTCAAAATCTCTTCAATTAAATAAGCTTAGTAAAATTTATGAAATAGACAGGACTCCTGGCTTTCTGTATCTTCCCCAGAGCATGACTGCTGATTTTTTCCAGTTACCTGCCCTAGGGAAGAGTCTGTCCTTTCATTGCAGATTCCAGGTATAATCCCTCAATTTCAGTTCCCACAGTGCATTAAAAATTTCTACTTATGAGTCTGTCTCACCCCAGTGCCCACTATCCCTCGGATAATATCTAGCACATAGCAAATGCTCAATAAATACAGGCTATTAGTTTTATTTGGACTCTCCCTTTAATGGACCTTTTTCCTATTTCCAGAGAAATTCTTCCTAAAAGCTTCTTCCAGCTCTCAAGTCTATTCCCTCCCCCATTGGTCTGCTCATCTTTTCCCCCCTCTTCTGCCTTTTCATAACGCTCCACGTAGGTCCACACTATCACTCTTCACAATTTCTTTTTTCTGTTCTTATCTCCCTTTTCACACAACTCTGCTTCATTCCGCTGTCCAGAGTTAACCAAGCCAATGAGCACAGATGGTGGGAGACATGAGACGTAGGAGCTTCTACAGCCCAAGCTTGTATTTGATAGCTGCTTATTTAGAGGAAGCAGAGTATTCACTACTGAATCCACAGGTAAGCCTGGAGATACCAGTTGTCTCCAGATAGTAGATAGATACTTTAACTGGACTCTTCAGGGCTTTGATTCCAAAATCACCTAATGAGGAAACTTTAGGAAAATAGTTCTTCACTATTGAACATGATAATGTGGAATAGTCACCTTCTCTAGGTAGTCATAACTATACCTATCCAGTCCCCATGCTGACCTTTAGTTTATTCTTGCATTTTGGAAGGTGACAGGAAAGACACATCCTAAAATCTATTATGAGATCTTCAGAGGAAATATTCAGCAAAAAAAAAAAAAATTCATCCAGTGTGTTATAAATTTCCACCATAATTTTACTTTGTGGAGAAGAACCATGATTTTTCTGAGAACTTTCAGAGGACCAAGACAATCCTGAGATTCCACATACATTTACTATAATCATCACACTGACAGAAGCCAACCAAGTGAAGAGGTGTAATGGGCCTGGTCTGCCTCAGAGAGGAGGAATAGCAACTTTATTATAGACCTTTTAATAAATTTAGTATTGCTGGTACATAGTAAGTAATTAAAAAAATGACAACTTGAATCAGTCTTACTGTTAGTCTTACTGTTTCTAAATTTTCTGCAGGACAGAGCCTTTATTATTGCCTGCACCCTCTACTTCTGCCGCCTTCTTACACTACTGCACACTAACCTTGGAAGATAATCGATATCATTTCCATATAGACAGGACAAAAACAAAGTTCAGAAAATGTAAGCATTCTCTGCCACACAATCAAAGAACTTGTGAGAGGCAGACCTGGGACTCTAACCCAGGTCTAACTCCCAAGCCCTCCCACCTTTCATGAAAATACCTGAGTAACAGTAGTTGAAAGAAAGAAAGAGAGAAAGAAAGGAGGAAAGAAAGAAGGGAAGGAAGGAAGGAAGGAAGGAAGGAAGTTAGGAAGGAAGGAAGGAAGTTAGGAAGGAAGGAAGGAAGGAAGGAAGGAAGGAAGGAAGAACTTCAATGTTGAAAGTGCTTTCCTGGGTATGGCATTTGATATTTACCTTTATATCATTTGATATTTACCTTAAAACCTGTATGTGAGATAAGTAGGCAGGTGCTGTTATTCACAGGTGAGGGACTGCAGGAAAACATGTCTATGGTAACCACCTAAGTGGCACAGGGAGGTGCAGAATGGAGCCTGAATCTCCTAAATTCTAAAGTGGCATTGTATCTACTATGTCAGTCCATGTTATGACATTTTTTTTGTTTCCTGTGAATAGTAGAAATATGTAACACTTACCTTTCAAGCTATCAGTGTCCTCTCTTAAATGGCATTTTTTTTTCCTTTTTAGGAATTCATTGCTGACTAAAAAAGCTCATTCAAATGGACTTAGAGCAGAGAGGTTCAGAGCATGGGTTCCAGAACATGATAGATGGGTCCAAATCCATACTGCTCCAAACACTGGCCTTATGAATTTGGAAAAATTTAACCCTCTGTATGCTTGTCTTCTCATTTGTCAAATGGGGTTAATGAGACAGCGCTGTGGCAATTATTTGAATAAAGAGGATTTCTAAAGCCTAGTACAGTGCTGTTCATGCCTGTGAATGCTGTAAATTATATCCTTCATTCAAATTTTGTTCTTTTACATGATTATTCCCAAAATTAAGAAGATTAAGTGAGTGACATTTTATTTCTTAAGCCACTGTTATTGTTATCATATTCATTCTAATTCAAAGAATCTTGTTATTGGTGATGTAAGAATAAGAAAGCCCTTATTAATATTTTCAGAACCTGGAATTTTGAAGTAATAAAAACTGGAAGAGTCCTCTGACAATTGTAAGCTATTCCAAAGTCACGTAAAGAATAACAATGGATCTCTGTGCAGCATTTTTATGAAGCCTCATTTTTATTATAACCATATTTGGAGCAAGGACATCTATTATTTTAACTACAGTAGGCATGCTGCAATATGATTTGTAATAATCTTTCTTAGCCTCATCTATACAGAATTCATTACAAATGAATTTTGAAATGTTCATTCCAATAAGCCATGAAAGAACAGACCTGCACCATAGTGTCATTTGAGAAATATTAGGAACAATGAGCTCTTTACACGCCTATCAGTATTCATGAATTTACTTTAGCACAAGAAACTTCCTAGGTTTTGAAAGAGAGAAGCAAGTGGTTGGCCTTGATAATTGACCAGTGTCATCCTTTCTCAAGATTAATGCCCTTAAAAGTGTTCAACCTAGTTTCTTGCCAGCCACAGCATGCTGGAACCTCTGATGGGCTAATGAATGCCACTTACCCATTCAGGTTCACAACAAATTTGGAAATAAGTAAAGGAATATGTGAGACACAAATGCCCCATGTTTAGAGGTAGTAGCTTAGTGGGTTTGACTTATCCACCCCCCTAGATCTGGCTGCCCTGGGCTGGGGAAGCCCACCCACCTGCAAACAGGAAGAAGGGGCCCAGACAGAATTCTAGCTTAGAGAAACAGAGGAAAGCCTCTGTTCCTGCTAGAACTTGGCTCTAAAGGACAAAGGAGAAGCCATGAGCCAAACAGGCCCAATTTATTCCTCCCAAATATTTCAATTGGAAAAAAAAAATCATTTCCCCTGAGTCCCTGTGCACATACTGCTCTGGGACCCAGAACATGAAAGAACTCTCCACAAACTATACCTCTGGTACCTGCATTCCACATTCCACATTTCAAAAAGTTTAGCACTTTGCTCAGAGTCACTTTAATACCCTCATCAATAAATTGTTGGAACCAGGCACAAGGAGGACCATTTGAATGTGGTAGGAGTTGTGGTGGTGGTAGGAAGTGTGGAGTCTTACCCAGGTTCAGGGCTGGTTTAGTGAAGCCATAGTCACCATTATGAATTTATCAGTTATAACCACGTAACTATAGAAACTTGCAAGCACTATTGAATGCCCATTTTGAAATGGGAAAATTGAGCAAACCTATAGAATCACTAATAAAAAACTCTCTTCAGTCAACATTAATGGATCACTGTGCTACAAATTTTGACATCAGAGGCAGCTCATATAGTGAAAAAATCAATTCTGAGGCCTCATATATCTCCGATCTTTCCCTCCATTCAGCATCTTCCCAAATCTAATGCAAAATAGCTCTGCATTCCTTCAGCAGCTTCCAAATGGTCCTCCTTGCTCCTGTTTCCAACAATTTATTGATGAGGGTATTAAAGCAACTCTGAGAAAAGTGCTAAACTTTTTGAAAATGAGGAAGAACATGAGGGAGAGAGTCTAGATTTGAGCTCAAGTCTATCAAATTTCAATCTGAGCTCATGACCTCTACTAATATGCTTTAGCCCTCCTTTCCCCACCAGTGTAACTACCTGCAATTCTTGCATTAGCCTTTGAGCCTATGTGCTCTAATGACCTCTATAACCAATCACAGAATGACTTTCACATGTAACTGTTGTGATCCTTTTAAGTAGTTTCATCTTTTAAAACATAAAGCTGGAGGTGAGGCTCAATGGTAGAAAACTTGCCTAGGATGCACATGGCCCTAAGGCCCAATTCCCAGCACTGCAAAAAATAAAACAAATTAAAAAAAAAATGATGAGGGAAAAAAAAGGCTTAAATCAGTACAGACAGTTACCCAGACCAAGTTCTGGCTAAGGGTAGAGTCAAAATTCAGATTTCAGGTTTAATGTCCCTGACTGCTAATACTGACTCTTAACCCATTAGAACACATTAATGGATTATAATTTGGAAAGTTAGTAATTTAAAGGTTAAATGAATTAAGGCTATGAAAACATGTGGTAATGATACCAACAGTCCAATTATAAGGAGAGGCTGTTTCTACTGGAGTTGAGATATTTTGTGTCTGGGAAGGTTACTACAGATCATTAAAGCATGGTTCCCTCATTTTAAAGGTAATAAGACCAAGGCCCCAAAAATCAAGGGTGTAGAGGGAGGTCCACACAGCCAAGAGACATTCCAGGACTCCTCTTTTCCTGTCTAGGCTTCTTTTTTTACATCATCTTCCCATTTTGTGCCTATATGAAAAAATGAACAGATTAAATTCAAAGTGAAACAACAACAAAAAAACCCCTACTCTGACACTCCGGTTTACATTCAGGCTGACAGTGTTGACCCAAACAGACTCTCATGCCTCTCTCTGATGGTGATTTAAAGACTTCCAAGCTGACAGGAAATGACATGGGGTTGGAAATCATAGATGAACCTGATGCTTTTGTACAATCCTTTTTAACTCGGTCTTCTATAGTCACAAAACTTCAGAAATAGTTTCCAAAAATAAGATGGACCAGGTGCCAAAATATAGTTTCAATGAAATTGATACACTGAAGTTGACTGTAAAGTGCCTTAAATAAGTTTTTCTTTCACAAAGTCTAAACTGATTGTTTGGGTCTGTTTTTTCCCATATGTTATTTTCTGGCTAATGACCTTTGAGCAGAAAAGTACTTTTCTCCTTGAAGATCCACAAAGCATCACCAGGCCCAGGATCTCTCCCCTCACACACTGTCTTCCTCGAATGGGCCTGTAAACAGTTGCTCTACCTTCATAGGAATGTTTGAAAGAATCATGGCAAACCAGAATTTCAGATGCACTTCTGAGTTCATGTCAAGACTGTCACAGGCCCAGTCATAGGCAGAAAAACTCAAGAATAGAACAGCAATTATATAACTGATACACCAAGAAGTCCTTTATGCATTAGGATAAACCCCATAAACAAAAGCAAATTTTACCTGGGTCACAGAAATCAGGACACACATAGGAAAAAAGAAGAAATCACATAATCTTAGATTTTTGTTTGTTTGTTAGTTTTTTAATTGCTTCAAAAATACCAGGTTAGCCTTGGATTGAACAGACTTTAGGCCTCTATTGTTTTCATCAGACTCCTCAAACTCAGACCATCTCAAACCACAGTGATAATAATGAGGATGATGGCAGAAAAAAAAAAAGAAAAATGGTAAAATCATATGTTTAATATCCCATGTTTTTCAGTCTCACTTCTTGATTTATGTACAAAAATACAATATGAATATTATAATCCATGGTTAGAATAATTAAGAATTGATTAGATGAGAGAGAAAGAGATCCCAGGTTCCATTTCCATAGCACCCTGCTGAGTGCCTCATTTAGGAAAACCAGGTCTATTTTCTTTAATCATCTCTTATTTTTGTTGAGTTCTGTAGTGGTCAGACCCACTTAGCTGATCACATGATTCATATCAGTGGAGCTTTCAGACAATCCCTTTCTACCTTGCTCCAATCAGAGGGTCCTTTCTGATTCCTCCCTGGATGGAAATTCTGGAGCTCCCTGTCCCCCTTTGGTTCTCCTGTAAACACATGTGCTTGTCCTTCCTACAGATCCTCCCACCATCACAGAGTCCAAGAGCAATGAAGCCACCACAGGCCGACAAGCTTCACTCAAATGCGAGGCTTCTGCAGTACCCGCGCCTGACTTTGAGTGGTACCGGGATGACACCAGGTATGTACCAAATCTGCCACGCCCCCAGTGCCCCACCTGGTGGTGCTGGAGGCCTCAGAAGCCCAACAACAAAACAGCTCAGTTGTAATTATGAAGACCTATTCTGTTTGGCTCTTCCTTTTCAGTATCTCTTTATCAAGTGCTTTAGGGCCTGTAACCCTTCAACTGAAGCCCAAAAGCACTCAGTTAAAATATAAAAAGTTAAGTAGCTGGTTTAAAGGATCATTTCCACCTGCATGCCTTTCTCTCAGATAGCAGAAATTTAAGCCTAATGAAAGTCAACCATTCCAGAGTCTTCTCTTGAGGGACATTGATCTTGACAATAGGGATTGCACAATTAAGATGAGGAATTGAGCTAGGCATAACAAATTTTGTTTCTTTTCTCTTCTTCCTCCAATATAAAGATGGGGAAGAAAGTTAAAACCTTCATCGGTGTTCCTTTTAACTCTCCTGTATTTGAATTCTTAGGATAAACAGCGCCAATGGCCTTGAGATCAAGAGCACGGAGGGCCAGTCCTCCCTGACGGTGACCAATGTCACTGAGGAGCATTATGGCAACTATACCTGCGTGGCTGCCAACAAGCTGGGGGTCACCAATGCCAGCCTAGTCCTTTTCAGTAAGTATGCCAAAGCAGGGTCCAGCTTGACATAATTACATGGGTAGAGTTTTCTTGTGGAAATTTGGAGTTCAACCCCTTTGTTATTAAAGGCAAACATTATAAAAATAAGAATATACTCACCAAAACAAAAGCACAGTTTTCTCAATTCCTGGACACAAGATTTTCAAATGGAAGAATTTCTGTCTGTATTCTCTTACTTTTGGTAGGTGTCCTGTTTTTTTTTTTTTTTCTCTTCCCCTCCCCCTTAGTTTTGTTTCTTCCTGGTTGGCTAAACTGCTAGTATATTCAGAGAGCACATATTTCTTTGGTGGTAGCCTCTTTAAGAAACAGAGGTGCTGTACGAGACTGAAAATTGATGGTTGTTACAAAAAATCAGTGATGAGAGTGGTTGAAGACAAAATATTCAATGAGGATGGACAAGCAGTTGAGAGAAGGGAGAAGCTGGAAAAGGAAGTATATTTTTAACAACTCAAAAGGAAGGGTGGTATTAATGATTAAAGCATAATATAAAATGCAAAGGAGGAAAATGGTTGCATAAAGGATTCAATATGACAGCAAAAGACATTACTTGTCCAATGTTTTTCCTAACAGAGATGAGAAGTGTAGGCAAGGAAACATTTATGAAGAGCAGAAAAGATCTTGAGAGTAGACTAAGGAGGAATCAGCCATTTCCAAGTTATTAATATTAGTAGGAAGCTCCACCTTCGAGTCTTACTTTTGAGCAGCATGCTGTAGTGAAGACTCTAAATCCCTGTCTTGTTGGTCAGGAAGCTACGAGTATAGAAGCAAATGCCCCCTGAGAAACAGAAAGATGATGGATGGGAAATTAATATATTTAGAATAGGAACAGGTTCATCAGAATAAGTAAAGCAATCAAAAAAGTTAGCACATACTGAGAAACAAAGTTCATTTGGACCAAAGAATGTACTATTATTCTTTTGGAATAACAAACTGCTAATTTTTTTTTTTTTTCTGCACAAGTTCAGTTGGGAAAAACTAGAAATACTATGGCCAGGAGAGATGTCTTCATCTTATTTTATTCCGTTTAGATGAGCCTTCGTGGAAAAAAAAATCTTAGAAGAAAATCAATTTAAGTGAGAGTTCTCTTGAAATGCAGAGCTAAAGCCATTTTAAAACTGCTCCAGATACAGCTCCACTTATGAAAAACAACAACCACAAACTACCCAAAATTCAGCCTTCACTTTCTCATTCATAACTCCAATTGACGTCAGTCTATGACAGTTTGATAGGATATAGCTATACAAATGTTGCCTCAATATGAAGTTTAAAATTCATATCCCTGTTTGCTTGTCTCCAAAGACCAAGCATCAGTGTTCTTTGCTTCAGCAGGAACATCAATATCCACAAGACACTTGGGAAGATAAGTATTAAGAAATGTAGTTACCCATTCATTCCTGATATTAGGGATTTCAAAAATAGGGGCAAAAACCTAGCCTCATCTATAAATTCAAGGTACTGACATATCTAAGGTGACCTAGTTAAGTCGAATAATATATACTTAACGAAAAGTTTTATAGGGATTGAAAAAGAGAAAATGGACTGCAGAGAGTGAGCGATGATACATTTGCATTAAAATGCTTTCTTCTCATCACTGAGAATATGAAGTATGATAACAATATATTTCAAATAACAAAATATTGCCTGTATATGGAGAGAGAGACGAAGTGAGGTAGAATAATGGAATAGTTGGGGAAGGTAGAGAAAGAGAATGGGTGGGGTCAAAGATAATTAAAATATTAGTAGAAGTAATTGACCTAACACAAAAGTCCATTTGAAGGACTTAAACTATTAAAATTAAGAATAGAAACTTACATAACTTCTGATTATAATTTGATAAGCAGGGAATAAGGCAATTGTATCATAATGCCCTTGGTGATTTGGAAGAAATCACCCTCAGTTATACATTTGAGAAGTGCACGGTGCCCTGTTTAATGATGTTCCACCCCTCACGGGCCCACGCTGCCCTCTACACCACAGCCCACAGGGGTATCAGTTCTGCATTTAGAAGCATGCATAGGCAGCTCGTGATCAGCATTTAGTTCAGAATTGATTTCCCACCTTATGGTGTTATACTTGCTGAAGAATACAATATGAAAGGTCATTAGACTTTGAGGTGAAAAGGAGCTTAGGAGAATCACAGAAAATTAGTCAATCATCTGACCTGTTTCTTAGACCCAAAGCCTAATTGTGGATGTTTTTAGGGGGAAGCAGCTGCTTCTCTTGTAACAAATATGGCACTCCCTGCCAGTCCTACAGCCACCAGTCAGTTGTGGAAAGCGCGTTGTTACAGTCTGCTGTGTAGCTGGAGCCTTTGAAGATGAGGCTCTATGGGAGCACTGTTCAGAGAGAGAGAGAGAAAGAAAGGAGAGGAAGGGAGAGAATGAGATAGGAAAGAAGGAAGGAAGGAAAGGAGAGCATAAGGGAAGGGATGGGAAGAAAGAAAACATCAGGGTAAATGTACATGTGGTGGCCCTTTGCCTGGTGTCAGAGTAAACGGGGTTCACGGAAGGAGCACAGTGAGCAAGCGTTCCTGCTGCGACTGTTCCATGAGCAGGGGCATGAGAAGCTGTCTGTAGCGGGGACCCTGGCGGAAGCACTGTGCGGGCAGCAGGGAACTCTGCTGACCAAGGCAGTCTGCAGCAGATGGGGCAGCTGGTGAGCTCCTGACAGCCAGAGGCAGCAGCAGGTAGACTCAGAGCCAGTGCCCTGAAGAGTCTGCGATTCTTCATCCTTGTTGGTGGTCAGCACATTTTCAGCCCTGTCGGTCCCAGTGACATGCTGACTTTTTGCAGTGTCATTTGTGACCACTTGTCCTCAGCAACTCATATGTGTACCACTCTACTCTAATCAAACACCAGTCTCCAAAGGGGTCAGAATAATTGAATGAGAATGTAAGAATACATTGCAATCATAGTAATTTCATCCTCAACTAGCGGAAGCATTTCTCAATTGTTCTTCTCACATTCTAGCATTCTGTTAAAGACTACTTCAGTAGTGCCTTTTAGTTCTGTCTTCATTCCCAGAATGTTACCTTATATATATATATTTTTTTTAATGCATTAATCCAGTGGTGCAATGCGTATGGGTAAGGATTCAGCTTGGTCTTTGTCAGATAGGGGAATGTGCATAATGTAGATGAAGACTAGGACGGCTGGTGATGGCAAGAAAAGTTCTATTGCCTGCTTATGTAACATAATAAGTTCCATGTTCCCACACTGATGACCAAGTTGTAACCCACAAAGGTGATAGATTTATCTGTTTCACTGCTTATGTTGAGTTACAAATAGGGAGGAAGAATAAAGATGATGACTAATATGTCATCATTTCTTATCGAGTTCTTACAAGGTACCCTGCAGTATGTGCTGTACTTTGCATACATGACCTCATTTAATCATGGCAACCTTGCTATGCACTCATGTTTCTCCATTACACAAAGAGGTTATGTCATTAGTGCAACTACGCAAGGTTGAGCTTGGGATTTAAATTTGGGTAATCAGTTTCCAGAGTCCAGTTAGAAACTGGACTTCTTCTTCTTCTTTATAAACCATTCTTAGTTATTATTCCAGGGGCTTGGTAATAAACACACACCATTCAATGATGCTAGAAGACCAAAGCTATTTATGTATGTAGGCAAAAATGTTAGGAGATACGGCTTGCAGTTTAGAAGGGAGGAGACATCTAATGTCTTCTTTCCCTTCATGAGACCTTTCTAACTGGCCTAATACTACTGTGGTCCCTTCAGATCCAAGAGCACTGCTTCGGCCACCTCCCACTTCCATTCCCATTAACTCTCATCTGCAGGTTGAGATTATCAGACTCATTTTATTTTTGGCTTGCTAAGTATTTCAACTAATATTCCAGCCTAGTTGCTTGAGCAGGGGGTTATTTCCACATGGTAAAGGATAGTCCTACTGATCAAAACAAAGGAATAAAAATACAAAGCAACCTACTATATTGGTTTCTACTGGACCATTCCACATCAGTGTGTAGGAGGTATTTTTTTCATTTTCTTTTTAATTTTAAAATATCATGAACTTGTAAACCTATAATTGACTAGATTTTAAATGCCACCTCAGCAACCCAACACTATAGTAAGTCTTTACACTACGGGCCTCCCCTTCTTCTTCGGAAACCATTCTTAGTTATTATTCCAGGGGCTTGGTGATAAACATACACCACTCAATGATGCTAGTTAAGACTCGGGAGGCCTCTTAACCAGATTCTTTTAGATGGCACATAATACAACAATCTGAGCTGCTATTTGAACACTAACCCCACGTTGTTTGAAAGACTAGCTGCAAAGTCCCTCGTAAAAAGGCTCTCTGTGGATAAAAGGAAAAGGGTGGGCACTTAGTTGCACTACTTTTCATTTCAAGCATAGGCACCAAATAGGTTAACTTCCTGAAAGACCACTGTACCTTTGTTATGCCCATTGGAAAAGAAAAGAAAATCTTGTTTGAGCTAGTAAATTACCTTGATATAAACACCGACCTTCCCTTGACTGCAGCTTTTTTTTCCCCCCTTTGGTCATTTATTGTCTTAATTCAAGTGTTTCCTTATGAAGTGTTAATCCCCTTCTGGCTGTTTCTTATGATATTCAGCAGAATCAGCCAGTCACACCCCACCCCACACTCCTGCCACCATTTTTCTGTTAAAAAAAAAAAAAAAAAACAACTAAGCATTCAGAGACTTGCTAAAGGAGTTCTGCTCCTGACACCTCCTCAGGTGTTCACAGCCCAAGGAGAAGCATGTTCCACCAAGATTCCTGCCCTCCCTTGCTTTTGAAAATCAAAAGTTGAAAATTTTTCATGTTAAATGGTATTTACTTCACTTTATACTCTTACAGAAACCCATAAACCCTGACCTAAACTATAAAACAGCAAGAACCATGGTGGAAGATTAAGGATAAAAAGTGGGAATGGGGGAGCACCTAAAGAAAGAGAAGTCAGAAGGAGAGAATTAAGAGAATAAGGCTAATTAATGGGGTGTGATAAGCCCGAAATGATGATAACAGGGTGGAGCTAAGAGAGTGATAACAAGCTGGGAAGCAGTTGAAAGGCGATGAAAGTCGAGTGGGTGAGATGGTTTAGCAATATAAATGGTCTTGTGGAAATGAGGGCAGAGTGCATTTACCCAGCTGTGAAGAGTCTGATGAGAAAATATGAAGCTGAGTCCTTTAAACAGTCCAAATAATAATAGTAATAATAAAAATAAAATACAGTAGAAAGAGTATAATATGGGACAGCGGTCTCCAACTGCTACATAAATGCTGAAAGCAGTTTAGCTATTTATTTTCAAAGCTGGAAACTTAATACCAAATAACCAGTGAAGGTTTAAACCATTTTTCTACTTGACACTCGTGTAACTAAGACACAATTGTTCACTGGGCGATTATTGACTTGCTCCATCTTAATGCACTTAGGAAACTTTCACATTTAAGCTACAACTTTCAGCTAGAGAGAGGTCACTGACTTGGCTCAGTGTCCAGATGTATCAATGTCCAAAGACCTTGCTAAAATTGAGTATTTTTTGGTTTATGGTATATGATGGCATGCAGATCAAATTTGAATATGTACCTATGCTTATCTTGATATGGTTTGGGTTTTTGTTAATTTTCATTTTTCATTGGTCATTATTTAAACAAACTTCTAGGAGGGATGCAGAAAGTTTGTGCTACTTTGTTACATTGCAGTGTTCAGGGGTAGCAAGTACTGCATCCTATCCCTAGGTGCCATTTATTCTTTCTGCAAGAACCTCAGGGAGGATTTAGAGTTAAGCCTAGGATTTTAGTGAGCTATGCAAAGGGTACCTGAAAGCCTGAACTCTTGTCTGCACATTCAGTTTGCACTGGTAGCTCCAATATGGGACTGTGAGAGTCCCATAAGCTTAGGAACCAAGTTTTCAATAGAAAAGTACTCCTTATTCCTCAACAGGGTGTGTGATCAAGGAAGTTTGATTGGCTGAACAAATTTCAGATGAAATTATATTATAACAGGAGGTTGGGATTAAGAAAGTCTAAAAATAAAGTGATATAATTCCAAGAAATGTATACTTGCTCAGGTATACTCTTGCACTGATGTCATTGATATGGAAGTTAAAACCTGAGAGAAAACTTGAATTAGTATTTCACAAAATAAAGTTTCCATATGCTTGACTAATGCTGATATGGGCTATAGAGCTGATCCAAAGAAGTCTGTAGCTCCCAGAGGTCCATCTGTTAGGAGCTAAAGAGTGGGGACTCAGGACCAAGTACTTGGATTTGATTACTTCAATGAATGCTTTCTATTCCAATTCTCTAAAATAGCTAAAATCTTGGTCGTGGGTGTTGCCAGTGGACAGAAGGATCCAGAATGCAAAATTACCATAATATGATGTTGTCTCCCTATTGTAGACATATTTTTTAATGTTTTTGTAATTTTAATTTTATTAATACGTGTCTATGATACTTTAGTGTTACAGAAAGAACAAATAAATATTTCATGAGAGAGATGATCCTACAGGCAAGGAAATTCATCTGGTTTCTAATTGTTTGAGTAGCTTAACATGAGAAAGAAATAGATAAGATCGATATTTTTAAACTCTCCATGATGTTTACTATTTTTTCCCCTTCAGAGCGTGTTTTACCCACAATCCCCCACCCCATTCAAGGTCAGTATGATTTTTATCACTGTAGCTCTGTTGCTGGGTCATTCTCCAACATCTATAATGAGAAAAAGACATAAAGGAGAATTATATGTTTCCAAAATGTGCATCCAATAGATATTATTTTTTTCCTTAACCATTGCAAATAAAGTTAATCCATTGTCCCACACCAGTTGACAGGTTTGTAACAGGTATGCCACCTGCCTAAACTTCAGTAACTGGGAAGAAAATGTCAGAGAGAGATTTTTTTCTTCAGTCAGAATTGATTACAGGTAACCATGAACTCTCATAATTTGGAACACAGCCACTTAAATTCTGTAGCTCTTTAGCCCACAGAAATACAAATCCTCCCACCATCCAAACTCACATTTGGAGATTTATACTATCTGAATTTTAAGTCACTGATACTACTTATAAAAATGAACTTATATACTAACAAAGGTTACACTCAACCAGAATATTAGGACACTACTTTTTCTTAAACTCTTGGCCAACTCACGGGTTTTTCCTTTTAAACATAACTACTTTAGAAAACACACACACACACACACACACACACACACTAAAGTAGTCATTCTGTATTCCTTTTCATAAGACTTTCTATGTACCCAAATTAAATTTTGCCTTCTACATCACATTTAGATGCAAGTTGCAGCCACGACTTTCTAGCTTAAGGCTATTTAAAGGCAAATTGGCAAATAAAATTAAAATAATACAAAAAAAAAATCTGAAATGAAACCAACCTACCATTGAAATTAAATTCCAGAAAAGTGATTTGCAAATAGCACTCAAAGACCTGAGAAAAAAATGGAAACTAGGCCATGCCGGGCCTAGTGTGGAAAAAATAAATCCAATTAAACAAGATTATCATACACACTATAAAGAAAATGTGCTCAGAATTAAAGGTAAAAAGCTACTGTTTTGTAAGTTTGAAGATGGATCATATTTCATTAAACATTTGTCCAGCCTAAAAATTAGAGCAAAACTGGGTACAGATATTTAGTGTCAATAATACGATGTTTTGCATATGTGTGCACTCGCATATATGAAAACTAACTTTAATTATATTTGAAGTAAGTATTGCAAGGTTTACAGGATCCAAAACATAGCTTAATAAAACAATGATTCCTAAATTGTGAGAAGAGTCCAAACATTTTTCAGTATACAAGCTTGGAAGAGCTCTTTTTAAAAAAAACAAAAATTTCTAAAACATTAATGAAATCTATGTCTTATCCCAGCTCCTAAAAATAAAACTGTTAAAATTGTGTCTGTTTTTTTAGACTTGACATGAAACTTAGTATTCGTGGAAAATATCCCATCTTTGAATTCCTGACATGCCACAATTATTTTAAGACATTTGTCTTCTGGTGTTGCTGCCAAGATTGACACCATTTTATCATGTTGCCATCGTGCAAGTATCTTGATATGGAAAACACACACATACACATTTGTCCCAATGGATAACGTTTTTCAAAGAGGTCATGCCCCATCCACGTTGAGCTTTGTACAGTGTCACGATGACTCTAGGTGTCCTTTGTGAGAGCAGTTCTGCAGCTACAAACTCAAATATTTATCTGATCATACATTATGATATATGTAACACTGAACAAAGTGAGGCCAGATGTTGCTCTCAAAGGGCAGCTGTCAGATATTGAAAAACAGTCTTGTTTAGGGATGGAGCATGTGGGATTTTGTTGAACTTTTTATTTCCCACAAACTGCATTGTTGATTGGAGAATGACCCTAGTTTGATTTTATGTTGTAGGTAGACTGTAGTTAGCTTTCTTAGATTTGATAGTTTTTAGAGAACTTAGTTTTCTTACTACTAATACTTTGGGCTTCTGCTAGTGGAAATTGAAAAGCTGTTCATTAAGACTTGGGATAGCAGATGTGAGAGGTTGCTATTGAAGATGTCCCCCTCTCTTCGTTACAGGGACTCTAACTTCCCAGGAATATAATCACTTTTTTCCTCCTGTTTCCAATCAAGACGGCAACCCAAGGGAAACCCAGTTTTCCATTTAAATAAAAGCTAAAAATATAATGCTTAATTCTTTAGGGTGTCAATTTATACCCAAATAGCTATGAAAAGCATGCCTTATGGTGTTTACCACTACAGTGCAGACTCCTTCATTGGATCAAATATCATATGTTGTCATCATCTACATGGAGCACTAAGTGTCATCCTCAAAGCAGTTGGTTAACAGAAATGGCCTGAAGAATTTTGAACCAACTAATTTGAAAGTAGAAAGTAGAAAGTTTTGAAAGTAGAAAGTCACAAAGATCCTTTTCTGCCCACCCGTGATAAAAAGAGAATCCTCTCTCTTCATTTCCAACCTAAAAGAAATATATATTACATTGCAGCTGCTTCATTACTATCATCTTTCATTGGAGAGTAACCTCCCTCATCCCCACTCTCTGTGGCTCTTCAAGCTGGCTGGGAATGTGCTGTAGAGTCACAGCCAGAATGCAGTCCTAAACCCCTTCAAGCTGTGATTAAACAAAAACCAGGCTCAATAAATCAAATGCATTTCCCTTGGGTTTCCTTCATCATATTGCTTGATTTTCTGCAGCGATAATAATAATACTGGAATTATACCAAAGGGTAATGTGTATCGGCTGTGGCCAATTAGAAATCTTCAAATGTCCTTTCCCCTGTGCCAAAACCCAAACAAAACAAAATGACAACAACAACAACACAACAAAAACAGTGTGCTTCCCTGCTCCTTAATTTAAAAGATACATATAAAAATAAGCAAGCAAAATAAGTAGCGTTCTGTTCCTGATCTGTTTCTGATAGGTGTTTTTCCCCATTAATTTTAATTCAGGTTTACTTATTCTAAAATGAGTGCTGAATTGCATATATTTGCATAAATACCCCTGACTATATCGCTGCAGAAAACCCACTGAATTGTAAAATGAGGAAAGAGTCGACTCTAATGTCTGAGGGAACTTTTCTCGCTTTGTTTGACTCAAATCATTTCCTGGGGCTCTGAATACTGGGCAATGATAATGTTCCTCCCCATCAACCTACTGGCGCATAGCCCGTCTTCATAACAGAAGTGCACCTAGCAATGTCCTCATGTTGAGGAAGACCACGAATTCAGGTGAAGCGATGAAACCAACCTTAGAAAGTTAAAAATCAAGTGAAAGAAGGGAAAAGGACAAGGACAAATCACCATTGTTTTGTTTTCACAATTATCAATCCAAAAAACTCCCTTGAGCTGGTGGCTCTCTGGGCTCTATCAGCCCATCCTTCTCCAATCACTGCCTCTTGAAACAAAACAAAAAAACCCTGGAATGTGTCTCACTTGTTTGCCTCCCATCTGATTATTTATCCCAAGTGAACAGCCTTTCCAATCACTAACCCCGTGTGGCGAATGGATCTGGGAAATGTTGAGATTATCTTCCAGGTTCAGGCTTTGCACCAGGTTTGTTCTCAGCTGCTTGCCATTCAGTCCCTGTTTTTCCATTGATAAAACACATTGCACATGGCTGGGTTTGCATGATTAATACAGCTGTCTAAAGCTCTCTCTGAAAACAAACAAAACCCCCCAAAATTAAAGTTTAAAAAAAAATTCAAATCCAACCCACAAACAAACCAGGCTTGCATAAATCTGCAGTCCCGTATGTTTCCTCCTAAAGGGAGACAGGTGTTCTTATGGACAGGTCTAGCATCAGAACAGCCAGATTCTATCTACAGTCAGAGGAGGGGAGAGCCCTGTCCTCACTCAGCACTCCCAGGAATGGGTTCTAAAGCCCATATTCCAAAGGGATGGAAGGGAAAATGGATAGGACAGCCTACCTATCTCATGCCAAAAAGATCACTGGATAATTTCTACAGTTTCATTTATTTTCTGTAGGATATCATCCTGGGAATCAATGAGAAAATGCCTCTTCTCAGCCCTTTAATATAACAGGAGTTTCATCTTGCCCAACAATGGTCATATTCGCAGTAATAACAATAGTTAACCCGCTTAGTTGGCTTCTCATGTACCAATAGAGTTCTAAGGTCTTTTGCATGTATAACTCAATTGACTCCTACAACCCTCAAAAAATAACATGAACTTTCTGCCACACTTTTTAAAGATCAAAGTATATCCAGATTCCAATCCACAACTTGCTATACCCAGGCACACACATAAATCTATACTACATTATAAATAACCATTATGTATGCATTCATAATGTTCATTAGATACGCATCTATATAATGAATTTTAAACATCCATCTAATTTATTTTATATATTACAATATTCATAATACATAACAGTTACTTTAATGTCCATGTGTTTTTACAAAGTCCATTTTCAAATATGCTCAACAGAGAGAGATGTATGCCTGACTCCCAGAAATTTATATGAAAGCATTCATCTTTTTAAAAACATGAGCAGAGCTATCTGGCATCAGCACATCTAATTTCACACACTTATTCAGACTGATTTGCATACACACCTCTATTAATCATGGATAATTACTAGCATTGTTCTCTCTAATTCAGTTTTTCCAACTGTGAAATGGGAAAGAAATTATATTTTCCATGCCTACAAGCTCAAAGTGGTATTTTAAATAAAATACAAAAGAGAACTTTAAGTTCCTAGAAAAAAAAAGTGCATTGAATTTAAAATAATCATATTCAGATACACATATTTCTTTTAATTTTTAAAAATACTGTATTTAGAGATATTCCTGTGCCACTTTGCATGGACATTAGCTAGATATAAATTCAGTGTGTTTTCATTGTAGTTTGATATATTATGGAGTCTAAGAATGTCTGAAAGGCTCACATTTCTATGAAGTTTAGAATTCAAAAGACAAATAAAAAAATTTTTTTCATTGTTTTCACCAAGTATCATAATATTGCACATAAAAGGAGCAGTAAAATTTCAGCATTCTTCATTGTGTGGCATGTACACATTTTTAGCAACTGCCCATCATGCACATCACCACATGTCAGTAATCCATAGTATTCAACTCAAAGAATCTGCCCTTTTTTCTGGTCGAAGATA